TAATCAAATAAAATATGTGTTGTTCTGTAGCAAGAGTTGTACATTGTTTATACTTGCTGCATATATACATGACTGCCTGTGGGCCCAGCAGATTTCATATGTTAGAACTTTGGGCTCGTGGATGTCTAAAAAATTTGCTCTTGTCGTTTGGTCTGAAACCAGTAGTAATTTGAGCAAAAGGGATACAAGGGCTGCTTGTCAAATAGGTGAAGGATCTATGAAAGCTGGATGCACTAGTGGTTTACATAGAAGGAAAATGTTTAATACTACTTGGTTTGAAATTTTAAAACAGCGAAGAGGAGGCTTGTTTTGAATTAGGAAAACTGTGCAAAGCCAATTAATGTGTCAACTCATTCCCCTACGCCCTAAATATAGAAAACGTTTGTTCTAAACGTAGGGTGTTTCATTGACCAATTTTTGTAAGCCTTCCATAGTATGAATGAGTAAGGCGTTTTTCTTTCCCAAATCTTTCCTATGCTGGCAGTCGGATCAAGAGGAAGATGGAGACCTAAAGGCACAGGTACAGAAAAGAGAGTCCAGATGTTACTAAACAGGCTATGTTGGAGGTGTTCATATTTCTCAGCATGTTACTGTCATTTCTCTGTGAAGAAATGTGTAGAAACAGCATTTTTTTATCCTTTAAATATTGTGTCCCTTACCTTTCCCTTTCTTTTTCACTTCTTTCAGAATAGTCTGATTAAACGAATACAGGGTGAAAATGTGTATGTCAAACATAGTAATCTTATGTTAGAGGTTGGTATTGGTATATACCAGTGCATGTGCGTACCTGTGTGTTAGTTTTAGTGGTAAACCTGTGAATCTGCACTATGATGCATGAACTGTGTATTCCCACCTGCTAATAAATTAAGTAGATATTTTTTGGCAGACTACGGTGACTCCTCTACCTAGTTCTTTAAATATATATAGCTATATGCGTGCACGTATGTGTGTGTGCATCCACGCGCATATGTGTGTTTGTTTGAAGCCTCTTTATCTGCTGTAAATTTTAGTGATACGGATAAACTCTTAAGAGTATTTTTATACTCACTTGTATGAGATATGCTGTGCTGTTATCTTTCAAAATATCACATTTTCACAGAGTGTTGTGTTAGTGTTGTGCTCCCTGGTTCCTTAAGATGTTATTTTCTTCCTTCCTTCCTAACTTACGTGTTCTGCCTCTAAAATTTGCATGGCTTAAAATGTTTAACAAATTGCTGTATTTTTCTTTGTAATTATCTAGGACCTAGACAAAACCCAAGAAGATTTGATGAAACATCAGACCAATATAAGTGAGCTGAAACGAACCTTCTTGGAAACCTCCACAGAAACGTCTGTGTCCAATGAGTGGGAGAAGAGGCTTTCCACATCTCCGGTTCGGCTTGCAGCAAGGCAAGAGGATGCTCCTATGATCGAACCGCTAGTGCCTGAAGAGGTCAGTACGATCCAAAGAGTTTTTATTTGTGTGTTCATTTTGACTTATAGTAACTCTCAGTAGGTGCTCGAGGCCTTCCTGTATTCCCATCAGGGGGAGCAGGTATTCCCATTTCTCGGGACTCAGGCTTCTGCAGGCAGTTTACAGCAAACAGTGCGCTCAGGGAAGAGCACTTGTTTTAGTTGTAGCCCAGGCTTCGCTGGCAGCAGCATGGCAGAACTGGGTCTCTGAGGGGTGCAAGGGTCCCATCGCAGAGGGCTTCGGTGAGCTTGGGGAAATTTGGCCACCCGTGAAGGAAAACGTGAAGGTGATTGAGGGGAAATCTAAATGATGGTGACTGTGGTTGGGAGCAGTGGCACAGCAGGGCAGATGGGGGCACAGTGCCAAGCTTGACAGGAAAATACAGAGCAAAGGGTAGAATTGTGCAGGGTTTTGAAGATGGTGAAGAAATTATGATGATAGAGTTACTTGGCTAATTCCGTAGGGGAATAACAGTTTCTATAGTCTGCTAGATAAATTTTCATTGAAGACCCAGCACTGGTCAATATTAAGTGTGTGCAATTTTATGCAGAGTGTATGCCTGAAAAAGAAGTTTTTCTCCCCGTGTACTTGCAAATGAAAATCTCTCAATCAAAATGCTTTTTCTTACTTAGTCTGTGAGAAAGTAATGAGATACAGATCTAGGACTGTAACATTAATGTTGTCTTACTATGGATAGATGTTTGGAAAAAGTGGAACATCTCTTGGTTAAAATCCAGTAGGTTAAAATCTGCTGCATGTGCTCTGCATGAAATTGAATTGTTTTGTTCTGATGTGGATGTCATGTTTTTTCCTCGCAGGAACCATGTTTATGGTTGCCACTCGGTTTTGGCATTACAGACCAATAAGTAGTCAAAATAGTTAGTTCTGTCATCCTCATGGTAATGTAATATTGTGAAGAATACAGCAACAATTGGATGAAAATTAAAATGAGAGGTCAGCTTTTCCACCAAGGCTTTGAAGACCCTTAGCTCTCTGGGGAAGGAGAATCCCTGGTGGCAGGCAGATACTGCATCTGACATTCATTAGAATGGCCATCAGGTTGTATTAAAATAGCTAAAAAGCAAGCTCAGTGCCCCAAGCCTACTTTTTGGAGAGAGGGCTAAGGAGCACTAACGTGGCTCCTGGTGTCTTGTTCACAAATCACAATGAATCCTACAACCGTGTTAATTTGGTTGAAATTATGAATCTTCTTTCTCAAGAGTAAAATTCTAAACATAACAAACAGGATGGATTTAACGGTTAAAGATGGAAATAACTGTTAAAAAGGACTCACTGGCTGAGATTGAACCAGGCGTGCAAGTGAAGCACCTTGATAAGTCTCCTGAGTTCATTTCCTTTCTTTATCACTGTACAAATGTAATAACATTTGTTATTTTATTAAAATGCACAAGTAGTAGCAAAGCATTGCATAGAGTTATGTAGGCTCTAACCTGGAGCAGTGGCAGGGACAAGAGAGACCCTTACCTGGTATCTTATCTTTTTGGAAGAAAGGAACAGGTACAAAGCAATGTCCAGTTACTCAATCTTATATGAGTCCCAGTAAACTTGGGCTGTCCCACAGAATCTCACCCAGATAAAGGTGTTTCAATGAAAAATGTGAGTAGATATGAACTATCATTGCCTAACCCTGAGGTTAATGAGCCTAGCTCTGGCCTTAAGGGACCTTCACTATAGGTGGCATCCAAGTATCCTTTTTGTCTCAGCAGAGCAGGATGGTTGCTGTTGGAGTGAGAAGAAGGTTTATCAGGAAAAGCTTAAGCTGTGCATAGGTCAAAATCAACATCTGCTGAGAAATTCAGAAGCAGCCAGCATAGGCACCACTGAGAACTAGATTATGCAATAGCTTAATCAACTAAAAAAATACAGACTTAATTTAGAATTCCACCTTTAGGAAAAGGATTCAGTGCTGTTACACATGAATCTTCAATATAACGAAACAAGACCAGAGGAGAAAAATAAACCTTTTCAAACAGAGGAGAAAAATAACACCTTTTCAAACTGTTTACTTTCAGCATTTGATATTTGTTTGTGTTTAGTCAGCTTGACCTTAACCCTGGAGAAATAATTTGTTTTTATTTACTTATGCAAAATATTGTTTTAAATATCTGACAATTTCTTAAAAAGCTGGCCAGATAGGTGCAGAACATAAAAGTCAGCATATTAACAGACTCATTAATATTGTTTACTCTGATCTGGATTGATTAAACCACCCACTTTATTTATACATATATATATATATATACATAAATATATATAAAAATGAGCATATATACATATGCTTATCTCACTGCAGTCCGTTAGATGAGGTTATTTCAGGATTTCACTGTCTAGTTTTTGGATGTTCTGTATGCTCTTCAAATGTGTACATTTTTCCTTGAATATATGGAGTAAATACCACCCTATTTAAATGGGGTATTTAGGGCACTTTATTGTGCTAGCTGTAGTCCTTACATAGCAATAGCCATTGCCAGCTCAGAAGCTGGGAGAGCAGCAAACAATATCTATGCCTGACAAATACCTACAATATCACTATCAACAGGCAAATCTGAGGGGATTGTCTTAAATCCTCTCTACCAATATTTTAACTTTCCCACTTGGCCAAGTCACAGAGATATTCTGGCTTTTCCTAAAACATAATGGAGGTACAAACAGGATAAAGATGAGTAGGATTTCAGTGTCTTGTTAGAGAGGATAATACAGCAATACTTAGCTTGTTGCATGTGAAAAAGACTCTGAGACCTGGGTTTTCAATGATAAACCTTGCACCCGTAAGGAGAAAGGGGAACCCGAAGGCTTTTCAGAGTGCATCTTCTGTCCACTTCACCACAGAAGGTTGCAAAGCCTCAGAAAGCTAAATCCTGGGTAAGGCTGTGTGAGCTGCTTTAGGCTATTGATGGAAGACATAAAAGTTGGTGCTGGAGATAGTTAAATGAATAATCTGAGATGAAATCGGCATGTTACATTCACACCCAAATGTTATTAAGTTCACTAATTTTCCTACTGCCCAAATTTTATGCTCACAATTGCTTTGCATTCATATGAATGGCCTGAACAGAGATGCGCTGATTTTCTTGGAAACCTCTTTGCTGTAAAATTATTCTGTTTAATTCTGTTTCCTAATTGACCATGCTACTTATAGTTTGTAGAGAAGAGATATATTGATGAGGCTTTTGTATAGCGTACTATATGCCCTTCATGTACTAAAACCATTTATTCCCCTGATACTTTCTTATTCATTAGACCAAAGAAGAAAGTGAAAAATCAGAAAAACTCATATTTTTGCAGAAGGGAGGTACTACATTCCTTGAATTGCAGGTAAAAACAAATGATACTTTCTTGAAACACAGTCAGATAGGCTACCAAGGATTTTTTTTATGCTTTTGTTCCTTTCCAATGCACATTTATTTTATTTTGTAAGTTCCAAAGGCAGGTGTAATCTGGGGGCAGAACTCTGAGGACCGAGTACCCACCAGAGCTTATGGCTACCTAGTATTGACTGATTTCTCTACAAGTTACAAATCCACTTGCACAGGACTGTTTGGGGGTGCTCTTTGCAGTTGTGCATGCATTTCTAGCACAAGTCTCACTGAGAATGTTGTGATGAACGGGGCACTTCTGTCATTAGAATGAGTTTCCCTTATACTGTCGAGTGATTTCAGGTTTTGCTGAATGATGGTGAACTTTGTGTTTTTATTGGTCTTTTTATTAGCCAAGTGTGATAGAGAAGAAGCTGCAGGAAGGAGAATCTGCTGGCACTTTGGTTACTTCTCATCAAATCATTATCCAGAAAACTATACCATCATCTGTAGAGGTTGTTTTTAATTAATTTGATATTATACTGCCACATTTGCTTAGTTAAATACAGAAGTTATGGTCTTATGGTCAAATATACTGGATGGTGATTGCATATTCAAAGCAAATCACGTAGCATATTTGCATATGGAGAAAGAAAGACATCACATTATCAGACAATGTCTTAATAGTTTGCATTTACTGTGTTGTACTATTAAATAACACTGAAGGGAGTTGCAAGGAAATTCAGCACAGACGACTGGTACATGCAAATGCCCACTGTTCTAAAACCTAAAAATAAGAGCATATTTGTGACATCTGAGAAACAATTGAATGGGTTTATTTGGCCTATTTTTTAAATCTTTAATTCATTTTCAATTATCAACCCTGGTACAATAGAAGATTTTAAACCTCAGGATGATTCCAACAATTATTTAAATATACATTAAAAGTGCTACTGTGCTACAAATTGCTACAGAAATAGTATGACAAAAGAGTTTTTTTGGTTTTGTGTCCCCATTATATGGGCCTCAAAGGGGAGGGGATCTACAGAGAAATAAGACTTTGCCTGAGGCGAGGCTGTTTGCTTGATGGCTGCTCTAAAAGGTAGAGTGGTAAAAGTTATTACATGCTTTCAAAGGAGGCAGCATTGATTTCTTGAAAGACTTCGTATTTTAGTGTTCCTGAAATGTAGCTAAATCTTCAGCTATTCTAATTTAGCTTTTATATCTCAAATATAGGGCACTGAGGATTGGGTTGTTATAGACAAAGTACCCTCTGAGGTAGTTGATGGTGAATCGCAAAAAAAAGTGGCATACAAAGTAGTGACTGTGAGCAGTAAAGCTGGCCTTCTGCCTGAGATATTGCAATCCAGTACCCTTCTGATGCAAAGCTTTGAGGACTTGGAGAGTGATACTCAATCCAAAGAGGAGAATAAGCAGAAAATGTACACCCTAGGAAAATCCTATGATACCGTTTCCGGGAAAATTGTAACCATGACAAGTAAAGTTAAAGAGGGAGAGAAACCAGTACAGCCTTCACCAGAAGCTCTGGAGAAGATGGAAAGGGAAGTGCAAGAATCTGTGAAAGTCATTCCTGTAGTGGCTGAGTATGAGATCCTCGAACCGGTCGCTGATGAGAGAGCCAAGAGGGGAGCGGACGTGCAGATGACCCAGAGGAAGCCGTCCGACTCCTTAACGCCTATAAAGGAAGCAGTATCGCAGCTGCAAAGTCCCGAAGACGAGAGTTGGAAAAAGGCCCTGAAGATGGAGCAGGATCTGCAGCTCCACGGTACACTAGGAAGTTTGCAGTTTGGCAAAGCAGAAGGACGCCTTGAGAGTGAAGCTCTAAAAACAGGGGCAGTTGTCCGGAGAGATAAGAGCCTGTCTGAGTGGAGATATTCCAGAGAACGGCCATATACCATTGCTACTGCTCACTATATTACTGAATCGTCTGCATCTAAAGTAGTGGTAACGAGTGGCTTTGACTTCATGCCACGGTTTAAAGATTAAAGCATGACTTATTTTAGGCAATACCCTCACGCCACCCTGCCTTTCAGTTCTCTCGCTGCCTGGCTTTATCTTGACAGCAGCCAACCCAGCTTATTTTTGTTCTTCATAATTTAAATCCGTACCACAGTCTAAAGCAGACATGAGGCTTCCAGCCTTTCCGATTTATTTAAAGACCCATGTTACTGAAATGTAGTATTGCGCTATGGCTTGATAATAACAGGGGGAAAAAAAAGGTTTGCTTGAAGCAGCAAAATGCCAGTGCTAACAACTATGCTATGTAATTACTGCTTATTGTAGCTGTTATGAATTTTTTCTAATTTATTTTCCCATTCTTTTCCTGTTTTCAACTTCTCTGTGCCCCTGCAACCTTCTCTCCCTTTCCTCTGTCCCTGCCTCCAGATTTGTCAATTAATATAACTGTGCTTGCAGCTCTGCCTTTCCTCTCTGTATGACTCTACATTTCTTTGTCTATTTAGACTAAGCAGTCCAGCGGTGAGAAAACCTTGGATGGGTCAGATATCTTCAGTTTAATAGAGTCCGCCAGGAAACCAACTGAGTTCATAGGAGGGGTTGCTACTTCTTCACATAGCTGGGCTCAGGTGGCTGTTTGCTTCCATCCATGAATGTTATCATTGCACACTGATAACTTTTATTTTTGTTTCCTGTCTTTATGCATAACTTTGGACCTGCATAACTAACATGACACATATATACTTTGTGTACCTTTTCTTTTGTTGCAATAGATCCTTCACTAAGAGGAAAAAAAACAAGTTTTTTTCATTTCATTTTATTTTGGTCATTATTCAGGGTGTTGTATTTTGCCTGCAGAAAACTAGCACAGTAATACCAATGAGAAAATCAGTGTGGCATTTCTCTTTACATCTAAAAGTTATAATGCTTGCTTTATTTTTCCTTTCTACTATTGCGATAATGTTCTTCCAATGGAAATCCATACAGCATGAGAGAAATAAATTGGCAAAGTTTAATACCCTATTTTTAATTTCATTTGCAGTACATTAAGATGCGGAACTGGGGTCAGCAGGGATGTGCACTCCTGAAATTGAGGGTTTTTTTTCTCTATCTCTCCCCAGAGAACAGAGACCAAGACATCTCAGGAGATCAGCTCCAGTGACATGAAAGCAGCAGCTCAACCACAGCAGGAGGCGGTGAAGAAGGTGGTTCAGGAGACTGTCGTGGTGGAGCAGAGGCACGGGCTGAGCGGGGATCCCGCCAAAGCGGCCGGGCTGGCGCCGGATGCTCCAGCTGCAGCTCCCGTCGGGAAGGGAAAGGAGGGCTCGGCTGTGCCCGACGGGGCTAAGGAGGAGCGGAGGGAGGAGGCCGCGAAGGCCCCGGCCAAGCAGGAGGGTGTCGCTGCTGCTGCAGCTTCTCGCGAGCAGGACGAGGAGCGTCGTACCACAGTCCACGTTTCAGAGACGGTGGAAAAAAAATCCCATTTTGAGGTAATTTGTTAACATATCAATTATTTCTGCACCACACTGTAAAGGCAAACAATAGTGGACTAAATTTGCTCCTCTCTTGGAAAGTCAAATAAAGGGTGCAAAAGTTGCATGAATGTGTCTTTACAGGAGGCAATTTGTTCCTCCTCTTCCTTCCTTCTTGCATGGCACCTTCAGGGCTTTCTGCTGGTTTCCATTATTGGCAATATGCCATGTACATTTTGCATTAAAAGATCTTTTTATGCCACACCTTGTTTGGAGGCATTTTATGTGACAGATAACATGAATTCATCTGGCATTTTCTTTCCAAAAGTTCATCAAGATTTGCAAAATTTTGTGGTTGTCAAGTTCAGAAAATGTCTTTTTCTTCGAAACCTGATAAAATTGGAAATATTTTTACTGTTTTAAACAATCCAGGGTTCTTCTTTTAAGCACCACTAGCAGAACTGCAAGAATTATTTTGCACAGAGGTTAAAAGATTGAGAGTGTCCTTGCTTCCTTTTTTGAGCACTGAATGCAAGAGAGAGTAAGCCTAGAGGGGAATTCCTTCTCTTCTCATTTTAAGAAAATGTGTTTAGATATTTTCTAAAGTTTGTTTTTGTGGAATACAAGATAGTTTAAAAATACTGCCAGCAATGTATATACACATGTATGTGCCATTACAATGAAGAGATTTTTTTTTCCTAAAATGCCGTGAACTCTTTATTTGTACCCCTTCTGCTTGCAAAAAAAAAAAATCTCTAAGAAATTGAAAAGCCTTGCTAAATGTTTGGTTTTGTTTGTTTGCTTTTTTGTTTCATTCACACAGTCACCAGTTGTGAAGACTGAGACTATCAGTTTTAGCAGTGTTTCTAGTGGTGGGGAAAACCTTGAAATTTCAACCAAGGAAGTGCCAGTAGTCCATACAGAAACAAAAACCATTACGTATGAGTCATCACAGGTAAGAAATTCTGTAAAGCTCAAGGTCTAATTTAACATGATGTTAAGAAACCCATATTTCTTAACCCATGCTTAGGTGTGTACTTCAATGTAAACTGTTCTACGGGGTTCAAGCATTAAATATAAGCACAAAGAGGAGATG